CGGCACTTACTGTAGAACCTTTTACACTAGCTGCACTCTTGAAGCCCCGGACCTCGTCGGACTCGACAGAAGACATGTACCGCTACGAGCCGGTAGGCGGGCAGATCCCGAGGACACTTGCGAATTCATGTTTTGCAGGCGGGAGACTCTCGACGTTTCAAGAGTGGCGATATAGAGTGCCTTCTGACAGCTCTTGATGTTTAGCGGAAACGAATCGTGCTCCTGGGTTTCGAGAGTTTCCCGGTCGAGAGTAAGTGCAGCGACGCCCCACTCTCGAAAATTCAGGAGTCTAGAGTAGTGCAGCGAGGCCCAAAGAGTCCATGTCTTCCTTGCTCCTCCGGAAAGGTCGCTGTCGAAAACAAAAACGAAAAAAAATAAAAAAAGTTAAAAAAACACAAAACAAAACATAACAAGGTGGTACTCAACAAAAAAAGGTACAATCCACAAGTCTATCCTCTCCCCGGGTGCTAGTGGTGTCTGTTTCGACCAGCACCACTAGCACTGCAGGGGGCCGTTTTTTGAAAAAAAAAAAAAAAAAAAAAAAAAAAAAGCGTCAGTCTCTTCCTTTGCTCCATATGCCCAGCAGTAATCGAGCTGTTTTCTTTTTTTTTTTTTTTTCCCACAAAAACGTGCACGGAAAACCCATTGGCGGTGATCAAGGGCTTCTGAAATCATTATGGGGAACTGGGTTGAGTACCCCATAAAACTAAAAGGTTCAAATTGAATGAATTTGAATCTGATCAACTTCAACTTGAAGCAAAAAGAGGCGGTGGGCCGCTGGCCCGCACTGATAGGAACATTTCAGGAATTATGTTTCTGCCAGTTGCTAGTTGAATGCGCTGAGTGCTGAGAAGTTCATCTGAAAATGATATTCTAGATCTTCCAAGTTCCAACATGTTCCTTTGCACCGGCGGGTATTTGGCAATATGTGCTATAGTAAGCCGTTTGAATTTGAGCATGAAAAGACTTACTAGTTGCTTTTAGCCGGAAAGACCCCAGGCATAGTCACGCAATGCATTCCTTGAACTAAGCCACCAGCGCCTAGCGCATTTTTTGTACCCCCCTCGCCCCCCCCCTCCCCCCCGGGGTCGAATGGGTATGGACCCGATCGGCAGACCGATTCGGCTACCACGTTAACGGCCGCAACAACCGGTAGCTACTGGTGGTTTAAACCACCAGTGCGGTGCGTTTCCCAGCCGTTTTTTCCCGATGTGCGGTGCAGGATAACGCAACTTTCCTGAGTGGGCAGCCGGAGTTGTTTTTGGCGCGCAGGGGGTCTGGAGCCCCGGGCAAAAGTGGCTCAGAAGCACTGGTGGTTTATTTATCATTGATGCCAGATGCATTCGGGAAAGTCCTACGAATAGTATAGGAAATGCCTGTATCAATAGACCATGTCCTGGTCGCAGTCGCAGTCAACTCAGCCTGCACTAGGCTGTGTGTGTGTGTGTGTGTGTGTGTGTTTTGTCATGTTTGCTATACAGTGTATACACTAATGTGTGTGTGTGTTGTCATGTTTGCTATACAGTGTATACACTAATGTGTGTGTGTGTTGTCATGTTTGCTATACAGTGTATACAGTAACTCCACACAAAAAGCATGACTGTGCCACACTGTTGCTCATCAGGAGGCTGAGTTCCAAAAGTATGGACATGATGCATTTGACTGATGCATAAGGACTCGCCACATCGACCAGAGTTAGCGATACCCACCCTTATGAGAGAGAAAGTTGGTCGACTTTATTCACACCAACCCGTTGTGTGTCGGGGGGGGGGGGGAAGGGAGGGGGGGAGTCATGTACACACACCATGCCCCGAATACTGCATCTGTCGGAGCTCCGGCGTTGAGGCCGACACACTATGAGATGAATGGCAAAGTCTGTCGAAGGTGGAAGGTCTTATGTTATGTGGTGCAGCCGAGGCGTTTGTGAGTGCGTCGTGGCGGCCATAAAAAGGGAGCGGTTGCCGGGCAGTGTGAACGAAGAATATGAGGAACACATATTAAGCTGGAGGGCATGAGGGCATGGGGGAGGTGGGTGGGAAGACTAGACAACATGGGACACGGAAGGAAAAGGTATCCAACTAGATAAAAGCAAGGCAAGATCAGTGCGGCAAAAAACAGGAAACAAGAAAAGACTTGCTAGTAGTCTGCACAAAGAGACGATCGGCATGGGGGAGGTGGGTGGGAAGACTAGACAACATGGGACACGGAAGGAAAAGGTATCCAACTAGATAAAAGCAAGGCAAGATCAGTGCGGCAAAAAACAGGAAACAAGAAAAGACTTGCTAGTAGTCTGCACAAAGAGACGATCGGAAAATATAAAAAATAAAGAAACAACTGATGATGAACGATTGTTTCGTCAAAGTTGCACTGACTCATCAGGGGGGCTGAACCCTCGACAATCTGTGGAATCCTCGTATTGATGGTTTGGGTCATGAACCCCTTGACCCATGTTGAAATCAGACTATCGACAAGCGGAACACAGCAGCAGGAAACAACTCGGCGAAGCACCAGCCGACGCTCCCCGAGCAACCCAACTGCACAACGCCAACAACTAACTGCGTAAGCGGATGGGACAACGCCAAAAACTAGGTTACTTCGCAAGCGGACGGGCAGAGCATGAACAACAGCGCAAGCGGACAGGCAGAACACGAACGACAGCGCAAGCGGACGGGCAGAGCATGAACAACAGCGCAAGCGGACGGGCAGAGCATGAACGACCCAGCGCAAGATTACGGGCAGAGCATGGACGACCCAGCGCAAGCGGACGGGCAGAGCACGACAACAGCGAAACGAAGCACAAGGCAACACCAACTAAGCAGCCAAACTACACGCTGGCGCTAAAGCAAGGTACATGAACGGCAAGGTATGCAGATGGGCAGCAAGGGAGCTGTGCAGCGAAGCATAAGGCAACACCTGCGTCACAGCCACACCACACAGTGAACACAGCAGCTGCAAAGAACGGCATGTGAAGCAAGCAGGGGGAAGCAAGGCAGCAGCAGATCGCAGACAAGGCAGACTAAACATTTAACACAGAGCAAAGTGGCACATGACCTACGCACATCACAAGTGAACCCCACAGACTGTTGGCACCCGCCACCCGCTGAGCCAGGGAGTCACTCCAACGGATGCTTGTCATCACCCATAGACCCATATGCACCATACAGACATCACTAACAGTCTGAGAGCAGAGCGGCTCCCCTAAGAGCCCTGCAGGCACTCCAAACAAAGGACCACCTACTGTTTAGCACTTCGTAAACCACCAGTACTTGGCCCAGTAAATAGAGTAGAAACGTTTCTAGATCGGATGAACTTGGGCGCTCCTGTAGTGGCCCGTACCTTTCCCAAAATTGTGGCTTGTATACGGGCACGACTTTAGCAAGTACTCACTGAGACACAAAAGTAAGAAAAAATCCAGAAAGAGGAAAAACATACATAAAGCTGATTGATAATGTGTGAGATGAAGACACACCGAAGTGCTCTTGCACACTCAGGATGGTCCACGATGCATTACAAGGTCCGTCTTTTGTAAACACATGAACACGCGCGAAGACAGATTGGAAAGATAGTGCTTCCGATTGGATACATTGAAAGCATATAACACAGGGCCCGGCTGGCGATTGGACCCTCTGACCCGATGCATTGGGACCGGTTCCCAGTCCTGCCGGTCGCCAGTGCGGGTGACGGCTGTCCGGTCTCTCAGGGCGCACTTCCACTTGGTAAAGACTTTCTCAACTGAATCTGACTTTGTTTGCAATCTGACACACTCAGGTCAGTTCTTCTTTGTTTGCAGTCTGACACATTCAGGTCAGTTGGTCTTCTTTTTCTTCTCTCGGATTCCAGAATGTCAGATATTCTTATACCAGCAGTACTTCCACAAGTCACGCCTTGTATATGGCTAGTAGCCAGATGAAAGAAATGGGACGTTTCCACTTGGCTGAATTTGTACTGGCGGCCCAGGCCCGTTCATCCCGAAAGTCACGGCGGTACGCGAGCTGCGACTCTGGGAAGTACGGGCGGCTTGTAGGTGGATGCAGGCGTTCCCCAGCATGCCAAAGGTTGAACTGGGAAAGAAAAGAACGAAATGTTACACTAGAGCCTGTCTGGTGGTTTTCGAGGCCTTCAACATAACTAAGGGTCTCGTTAGACACTCCTGGGTCCCATAAATTAGTTGCTGACTGTAGATTGGTACCGTCACCCTCGGCTGCAGTCTGGACAATCGGATGGATGTAGTGTCGGGCATCCACTGGGAAGGAGAAGAGGTGGACGGGCATCTCCCTTCTGCTGTGCACATTCCTTGCATGGCATGGTTGGTCATGGAGTGCACAGAGGGCACGACAGGCTGGCCGATCCACCTCGTTTGGGTCCCCCCGGCTTCCAATGTGTGAAGTGTGCTGTAATCTGCAGGGCGAGGTGAGGAGGCGAGTGCGGGAAGGGGTGAATGGGGGGGTTGGGGGGGTTGAATTGTGTTGTGAAGGCGGGTTGCGGGTGGGGGGGTTTGTTCCTGGCGGGGTGTTACATTCATGCGGGCTTCGAAGGGCGTGGGAAGGGGACATGGCCCGACTGCGTGGGTCGGCATGCAAGATGGCTGCAGGAACTTTCTGTCTGCCGTCTTGGAGGGGCCAGGCGCCATACTGCGTTGTCTCTTTCATGCAACACTGGACTTGTGGACGACGCATGGCTGTTGGCGGGAAAAATACGGTCAGCTGGAGCATCGGTGAGGGCCCAGGCGGCAGCTGCAGAGAGGCATGTCCGCCACCGACTGAAGGACTGCGCATGGGGACCCACAGCGCGCCGTCATGGTAGTGGAGGTGTTGTGTGAGGATAGGCACTGGATGCAGTGGACGGGTAAAGAAGGTCCACGTGCATTTTACGAAAGGGCAGGGTGCATGTCCGACAACGCTTCTCCGTGTCTTCTTGGAGTGCAGCGATAGCTACAGAAGGAAGGCGCGCCCGCCATTCCGTACCGCAGTCTTCCCGGAGCCTTTCCGCCAGACGTGCAATCTGTGCGGTGCTCTCTCGCCTCGCAGACCACACACCGTTGTTCACATGCCGCAACGGAACACGACAATGAAGGGGAGGAGAGAGAGCGGAGGAGGAGAGGGGGGGGAAGGCAAGAGAGGACGGGGGCACGTCCCGAACTCGGCAAAAAGGATCGTAGTTGATAACAGCTTGGACGACAACGAAGAAAAGGAGGACGTGGCGGTGACGGGCGTCCAAGGCCAGCAGGTGGGCGGGCGATTGGGTTTCGGGCGGGACGGTGTGCCAATGGAGCAGATCGCGGCATTCAAGCAGGCTGGCGGAAGTGGTGCCACCTTCGCCCAGGTGAGGACACCGAAGGCAGGCGGGTTAGTCATCAATGAGGGGCGGTCGCTGAGGCCAGTCCCGCCGGCAGGGGATGCGGCGGCGAGCGCCGCTCGTGGTGCGATCATCCCGGTTGCTGGGGTGGGGTGGGTGGACAAACAGGTCGTGTCGCCATCGACAGCACGTGAAGAGCTGACAACGCAATAGGCGGGCGATTCGGAGACGGGCAAGGCGAAGTCCCCTGCGAAGGGCGGGGAGGGTGGCGTTAAAGGGATCAGCCCCCCCAACGAACGTGAAGCCAGAGCGACTGGGTCAGGTGGTGGTGGGGAAGAGAGAAGGGCATTGGACATTCGCCGCGACGACAAGAGCGAGGGAGGGAGGAGGGAGAGCGACAACGATGACGACAACCGCCCTTCAAAAAGGTTGAAGAAGCACGGCCTGGAGGACGATCTGGAGGAGAGGTCGAAAATGTGGGTGGATAGCGATGCGTTTTGGGGTCAAGGTCCCGAGAAACCGTTGAGGGAGGCCGTTACGGACTGCGCGGATTACTTCATCACCATCGCCAACGGGGACTCAGGAGCTGAGCCGCCGCCCATGCTCATCATGCCGCCTGCTGATATCCAGCACACGAAGATCGACGACCCTACGCAGCATGATCCGACTTTGCAGAGAGCAAGGGCCATCGAGAGAATCGTGATGGGAGCGATCCACGGGTGGATCTTCAAGTCGTCATCAAGGTCGAATGGCTTCGCATGTGCGGAGTCCTACATCACCGTGGACTACGCCACTGACATCGCGCACGCTGTGTGGCAAGGCTTGGAATGGTCGAGAGTGGTCTCCCCGATGCTCGTTTACTACACATTCCAGATGAAGATGGACATGCCTCTGTGGTTCGCGGGGTTGAAAATCGTCGACAGGCCTGAAGATGATGACATGGCCGCGCAGCAGGAGGCGACAATCATTCGCGTGGCGGACTCAGTCTGCTGGACGGATGCGTTGCACTATGGGCATTGGACGGACGACGATAGGTTGAAGCAGGATAGGCTGTCTAGACTCGCGGATTGTCTGCGTTATCTTGTAAGCGCTTGCATGTGGATCATGCGAATGGGTGGCGACGACTATCGGTCGCACTACGACGCGGGATACTTCGCTGCACTCACCGTGAAACCCACCCTCATTGTTGTGGGGTGTTACGCCTTCAACTAGAGGCGTCACATCGTCGACACGGCGAACATTGTATTGGATCGCCTGGGGAAGCCGCACGTCACGCTGGGAGAGTATCCGCAGTGCATCCCGAAATGGGTCGACTGCGGGGTGGTGTGCGCTTGCTCACAATGCGGCGTTGAAGAATGCTGTTGAGGCCGCCAATCACGACTGGATCGGGAGTGGTCCACCGGCGGATGACGACCAAAACGAAGGGAAGTGAGATATAGATGAAGGGACGAACCTCCTATGTACGACGATCATGGTCACTCTTCATGTGGAGTGTTGAAGCAAGGGGGAGGTTGTTGAAGATGACGACGACGACGATACGTGCGGGCATCAGTGTGTGACGGGATGAGCGGACGGGTCGCTGACCCATGTGTCGAGTGACGGTTCGGGCATGGGCCCGCGCCCCGCTGGCGAGGGGGTGCGGGGTTGTGCAGGTGCGGGGTTGTGTGGGTGTGGGCTCTTGGTTGCACGGGAACATGGCGAGGGCA